GGAGAGAGATAAAGAAAGAAAGAAAGAAAGAAAGAAAGAAAGAAAAGAAAGAAAGAAAGAAAGAAAGAAAGAAAGAAAGAAAGAAAAAAACCAAAGAGTTGAGTTTGCAGCTGACTGAATGTGATGTACAACAGAATAGGTAGAATGGGAAAAGATCACCTGCAACTTCCAAATAGGTATAGCTCAGAAGGTAGTGGTACTATTCCTAGAGTCAGGGCTACCAAGTGGTATTCAGATTTGGAAGGGAAAAGAAAGCAACTACAAGACTTTGAGAAGACATGAGCTCATCTCTCATATGCAAAAATTTAAGACTGTTTAGTCGATCTGGCAATTGTCACTTTAGTAAAAATGCAGTGTCCCTATGTTCTGAGGTCCTGGAGTCTCAATGCTCACAAGTTCTTCACAGCTCAAAATGGGGTTCCCAGACTAGGAGCTCCTTAAGATTCCCTTGAACCTTATTAGAAATTCAGGATAGGGTGTTTGTTTTCCCTGAAAGCCAACTGAATCATAATCTACATTTAAATTCCAAGGCCATTAGTGACCGAAATTAGTTTCTAGAGGCTCCACATCAGCTAACAGTGGGAGGCTGGAAGGCACAGTCAATCAACCCAATGACTGAATCTCAATTGTTTACTCTTAGACTTCAATGTGATTAAAAGGATTTGCTGTGGGACTAGAGAGATGGCACAGTGAGTTAAGAGCACTGACTGCTCTTGCAGAGGACCCAAGTTAGATTCCCAGGCCCCACGTGGTGGCTAACAACCGCCTGTAAGTCCAGTTCCAGGGGCTCCAACATCCTCTTCTGATCTTGTGGGCACTGCATGACATGGGTGCACTTACATACATGCGAATGTCATATACATAACAAATAATAAAATTTTTTTTAAAGAATGAAGAACTACAGGAAAGAGGGGATGGGAGAAGCAACCGGGAGAATGAAAACGGCAAAGGGAGAAAGGGGAAGCCATGATATTCTGGGGTGTATTGGACCAGCCATGATATTCCAAGAGGAAGAGAGAAAGGGAAACCCATTCTCCCCACCTGCTGGCATGTCAATAGGTTTCAGTGTCCCCGAAATGGACTTCATAGTATCAAGCTGAAGTTAAAATTAAGATTACACCCCCACCGCCCCACCCACCGGTGGCATTAGAGCCCTTGAACCCCTTTTGTATTATATTATATTGAGAAGCCAAGGACAGAGAAGGTGCCAAGTGGCTTTTTCTCAGCAAGATTTACCAGATTTGAGAGTTTCAGTCCGTTCTGAAAAGACAGAGACGGTGTGTATAATTTGATTCCGCAACTTCTTCAGAAATGTCTGGTTGTGAGTGGCCAGCTCTGAGAAGTTGCTCAGTTTGGAGGCAAACTGCTCTGCAGGGTGGGATGCAATCTTTTCCAGCTGTGCAGTGCTGGCCCCCTCTATGCCCATGGTGAAGATGGTCACGCCCTCGCGCCGGAGGTTGGCAGCTGCCTTGGTCACATTGTCTTCAGAAGCTCTATGGGTCACCAGCACAGCAATCTGGGGTACCCCCTGATTCTTCCGACTACCCTTCTGTGCACTGAAGACTTCCTTCCGGGTCTTTCTGATAGCGGCCCCAGTGTACGCCTGCCCTAGCCGGGGAGACAGGCTCTGTATGCGCTGCAGGACTTGTGTCTTATTAATGCCCATGCTCAGTGAACTGATGACACTTGTCTCATTGCTATAGGCCACCAGACCAACCCTCATGCAGTGCTCCTTTATGTCAAGGGCAGAGACACTTTCTTCCAGGAATGCTTTAAGATGGTCAAGGTTCTCCTGACTGCCATTAATGGCCATATCCAACAGGAACACAACGTCAGCCACAGAGGAGCCTTGGTAAGCTGTGTGGGCAAGGAAGGAACAAGCACAATTATAGCAGGAGGTTCAGCCATCTCTGAAGACATGCAGAACTCACAGTAGAGCCCAGTTATGTACTTTAAAAAGGAGGTAAGTGACATGATTATGGACCACAAGACCAGAGGAACCTGGCTTCAAATACTAGATCTCAGCTCAGCTCTCAGCTTTGAGTCCCTCATGTGTGAAATGAGATATAGTATTTATCTCATAGAGATGGCTGGGGAATTAAATGAAATAATACAGTTATCATGGGACCTTGTACAGAAAATGCTTTCAATGAAAGATAGCTATTAAATATTAAAATAATGCCTATCTCCTACTATCCCCCCTCTTTTGAGCTCCTTCTTCCTCTTTACCCCCATGGTTCCTAGTACCTCCTTCCCTCCTCCCTTCCTCATACGAACTTACAGCAATGGCGGCAGCACAGGACACAACTCGTGCAAAGTCAATCAGACAAAAACTCAGGGCAGAAATGGGGAAACGGGCAGTAGGCCGCAACCTCAGCCAAAGGACTACTGACAGCTGATTACTGCTGGGTGAGGGCCTCGGCTCACCTTCTACAAGGATGTCATCACCTGCTCCTTCACTATACTTAGTTACGTCCTTGATGATCTGAGTCATGTTTGAGGAAAACGTGCTGAGGTCTCTGACTGTCTGAAGGTTGAAATGAAACTGAGATGTGGCCATGGCCTTCAGGTTTTCCTCAGAAGCCTTCTGCACCCCCACTGAGATGATTTTCACCCCATCTTCCCGAAGAGCCTTTGAAGCCTCATCCACATCATCCTCAGACTCTGCTGAAGCCAGCACCACCAGGATGGGAGGAAACTGTTTCCTGTCTCTTCCGTTTGTGGGAGCAGAGAAATAGGTCCGGTGAGCCTCCTGCAGGGCATTCCCTATCTTCAGGGACCCACCGATGAACCTGAAGTTCTTCTTGAGGTGGTTCAGCATGGGGTTCCTGCTCCTGAAGGCGCCCAGGTGGAACTCGTTGTGGAGAGTGTGGCTGTACTGGGCCAGGGCCACGCGGTACTTGTTGGCTTCTATGGGGAGGCTGCTGATCATCTTGTTGATGAAAGTTTTCACAAGAGAGAAGGACTTACTCCCCAGATGATCAGAGCTGTCCACCAGAAACACCACATCTGCGTACTCAGGGCCTATAAAACCACAAACATTAACAAAGCAAAAAAGTTGCAAATTTTTCTGCCATGTTTAATGCCAACTATATAAACAGACACTTAAGTTTTAGCTTTGACTTTTTTTTAGTATCTTCTTAACATTGAAAATAATACCTCAAAGGTGCACACTCGTTCTCAAAAAAAGAGAAACATTTGTTTCTTGGGTTGAATATTTTATATAATTTCTTATTTGAAATGATCACAACCTTAAGCATCATCTTGCAAAGAGCTAACTTAGAAAAGTGAAAAGGCTTGGGTTTTTATATCTTTAAACATCTCACTTATTTATTTATTCTTATTTTTTGTGTATGAATGTTTTATCTGCTTGTATGTAGGTGTACCTGTGTATGCAATGCCTGCAGAGGCCAGAAGAGGGTGTCAGGTCCCCTAGAACTGGAGTTATGGACAGTTGATAGCTGCCATGTGAGTGCTGGAAACCGAACCCAGGTCCTCTGCAAGATCAGCCAGTGCGCTTAACCACTGAGCCATCTCTTTAGCCCCCAGGTTTTTATATCTTTAATGGATTTCCCCTTGTATGTTTTACAGAATTATAATATGTAAATAGGGATATATATATGGATATATATAGAGAGAGAATCTATATCTTTATATAGATATCTCAAAGCAATGCAAAGTTTTAATTTGAATCAGATGCCTTCAGATTGGTTTGAATGGTGAAATTGTACTCTGTGATTCTGATCCAAACAGTGCTTTCAGTTATTCAATTAATTTATAATTGTGTTACATTTGTATTCTAAAGGGGTGAAATTTAAGAAGTACCTAGATATCACAAATGCATGGGATTAGCTTAATCTATGGGAAATATAGTCATAGTATTTTAGTAAGTAATATGAATGAGTATCATAATTGGTAAATTTATTCTCACATATTATTCTCACATATATAAAATGTAATGGCAGCAAAATATTTTAGGTAAGAAATGGGATATAGTTTTGGTTTCTATTAAAAATATATTTCATATTGGAATACAAAAAACATAGTGAATCTTTAATAATTCATTTTCTTGCTGTCTAGGACCTTAGAATTTCATATATATAAATTTATTAATATAATAGATATATGTTAATATGTAATATATATAATATATTTTTGAGACATGGTCTCATACAGCCCAGGATGGCTTTGAACACCTGATTTGAAACTCCTACCACCACTTATGAAGTTCTGGGATTTCAGGCATATACCCATAACCATGTTTGGCTCTAGAATTACATTTTTAGGTGACAGAGAATCATGGGATTCAAAGTTATTGCCTGGTGGCCTATTTGTCTGGTCTCAAAATTTTTGCAACCTTAAATTAATTCCCATTTCTTGTCCAGGGAAGATAGGGAAGTGTGTGTGTGTGTGCCTAATCAAAATAACTTGTATTTTTTCTGCATTTGCTGAGAAACTAGCCGTGGCTTCTGTCATTCCATTCTCTGTAGAGATTCTGATCAAAGTGCAATGGATAGAACAGTCCTTTCTCGTACTTCAAATGACTGTATTTCCACCAATCAATTCCTGCCATGATCACACAAGCCAGCAGCATCCAGGGGAAGAAAGGGTGGTAGACCAGGGCCAGTCAGTACTTTCTTCCAAGGGAGCCCTGCTCAGAATGGCTTGAAGTGTGGCCAGTGTTGACCTCTCTCTTCACAAACAAGCGTGTATAGGAAAGGAGGTGTGATAGCCTAGCAGTGAAGATGATTCAGGCTGTTTATGATATCTATCCATGATTGGGGAAAATTGCCTCTCCTGACAAAGCTTAAGGTCAAGGAGACATCAAATGATGATGTTTTTAGGATGAAGTCCAATTTGTCTTCTCAAAACTTGATTCTGAGGCCAGAGTCCTGGAGAAAGCTCTAAAAGCTAATATAGGTGGTCATGAACAGGAACTGAGCAGCTCATGCACTGATTACTTAAGCGGTGGCAGAGGAGGTAGTGAGGGAGTTTTGACCTTAATTTCACTGGACATGACTTGCTGGCCACAATGCTGACAGCAGATAGCTAAGAACTTTCTTGCCAAGGTAAACACAAGCAAGTCTTTACACTAAGCAGATAAACAACTCAAGCTGAAGCAAAAGCTAGACATTTAGCTACAGCAACCTTTTTGGCAGAAATAAATTAAAAAGAAATATTCCAAATTTTCCAAGCCTGAACCTAACAGAAACAGAATTTCCATGTAACCTCCAAGGAGGTGTAAAAGGGGTTGAATCTTAGGACAGAAAGAAAATTTTAATATATTTTATTCAGTAGCTACGAATAAAGCCCAGGATTTTCAAAAGGACATGGGGTAACCTCAAAAAAACTTGTCCTCACACCCTCACTACCAATCAAAATCAAAGTGAAACGAAGTTCTTAACTGTTAAGTACATCAAGCTCATTTACTACCTATTGAGGATAATGAAAATTATGGAACGGAAATCTTTACTTTTTTTTCTTACCAGAATCTTGATTCATACAAACATGGGAACAAATTATTATGAGGAACAAAATCGGCAGCATTTTCATGTTACAGGTTGAAAAATCCCCAAGTTGAAAGCTGAAAAGGCAAAACAAAACAAACAAAAAAACCATGTAAAATTGCTGTCAACCAGGATCCACAGAGAAGAACATACAAAATTACACAATAAGCTGGGTGTGATGAGGAACAAGGAATAGCTAAGATTCACTGATCTTCTAATCTGGAAGGTGACTCTGAGGATAAGGAAGCCTCCCTCACAGAGCTGTAGGTTTTTCCTGGTCCTTAGACCTGGTAGAAACATGAGATGTCGAACAGTCAGTGGAGATGACCAGATGCATTGTGGTTCCACCTGGATTATGTGTTCCCATTAGTGACCTCCCTGCCCCCAGTGCATCTTCTGTCTGCTAGTTATCACAATTCAGAGTTCACAGCTGGGACAGTCCAAGATTGCTAAAGCAGTCTCATCATCATGAAGATGTAGATGTGTTTCATTTTTGAACAGTAAGTATTTTTAGATGTGAGTCAAAATTCCCTGTTTTCCCCTCTGCCTTCTTAGTTAGAGAACGGTTGCCTTTTATTCTAAAATCTGAGGGAAGATTCAAAACATGAGCAGTGTTTAGATGAAGATGGAAAGTCTTGCCCTTTATGTTCTTCTGCCTAGACCCCCACGGAGCAAGGGTCTTCCAATTCTAGCTTAGCCTAAAGCTTTTTCAGCTGTCCTATAATTCCCATTTCATAGAGTTAAACAGGATTTTAAAGATATTAGAAATAAATATAATAAAGCAAATTGAGCTCATTCAATAATTTTTCCACTGAAAAATGGGTCGATCCAATTTTTGAGCCAGAAATAGTATTTCCTTGCACCGTTTAATTGCTACCCAAATGTGAATTCACAATACCGCCTACGGCCAGCTCACTCTACTTCAGGCACGCCCCTCAAGCCGAACACTTCATGTCTTCAGAAAAAGGGCCTTAGACACAAGGGTGTCTTTCCCTATTTCTTCAGTTCTCCATTGTCCTTCTAACAGCATCCCTCTAACAATTTGGGACTCTGCTCCAGGCCTTCACAGGAAGTCTAGACAGCACACAGTATGGTGTGACGTCAATCTATCAGTCCTATTCAAGGGGTAATTAGTGGGCTAGAATTGGACTCGAGATCATTCTTAATTCAATCTTGTGATTTTTAAAGGAACTAAATCTCAATATGAAATGCCTAAAGTATAAACCAAATGCTACCATCTACATATACATTTTTATTAATGTGTTTAAGAATGAAAGTGAATTCTATCCCATGTTTAACCTTTACTGTGTCATGCGCTGTTCTACAGCCTTACGTTTGTTCTGCTTGGCATTGAGAACAGCCTTGGCAGCTAGTGTTACTGCTGATCTCATCTTTCAGATAAATAAACAAATTCCTGGGGCTGGGGAGATGGTTCAGTGGGTACGAGCACTTGCTGTGCAGGCATGAGGATCTAAGTTTGAATACCCATCACCCACACAAAAAGCCAGGCATGTGTGCCAGTAATTCCAGAATTGGGAGGTAAAGACAAGTGGCTCCTGGAAGCTTACTGGCTAGTCAGCTTAGTCAAAAGGGTGAGTTTCTGGTTCAGTAAGAAACCTTCTGTCAAAGCTGTCAGGTGGAGAGTGATAGAGGAAGACACCCAGTGTCTACTTCTGGCCTCTTCATGTGCATGCACAGGTACATGACCAAGCACATGCACTTAAACACTCCTGTGCATGCACCCACATGCATGTGCACTTAATGTGCCCACACAGTAAAATTAAATTAACATATTCCTAAAGGGGGAGTATTTCATTAATACATGTTCACACTGGTCAAATAGACCATAGTTGAAACGCCAACTTGTATCTGACTCCCGAACCTGTCATTTACAACTCATTTACCCCAAATTCCAAACTCAATACTATGAACACAAAATGATTCCTACATTCATCATTGTGCCACTTTGTCTAAGTACTAGGAGATATTGGCAGTTACTTACAAATCCTTTTATTTTAGACCTTCAGAACTAGGGCTTTATACTATTTTCTTCTTTTGCTGCTTCCAGGATGAGCTTTATAAGTTAGTGCTGTCTTTGGGAGTTATGACAGATAAGAGAAAAATGCTTTGGAATAAGTCCATAGGATTAATGTCAATGATTTCAGCAGTCAGGAGTGGGAAAAAAGAGAAGTCCCTGGACAGAGATGGATCAGAGAAGGCCACAGCAGTCACAAAGCAGCATAGAGCATCTTGGAAATTTCCCCATGAAGATGGCTGATGCCAGTTGTTCCAGTTTACATTTCTGTTGTGTGTTAAAACATTTTATCAAGAAACAGAGCAAAAGTAACTTGGGGAGGAAAGGGTTACTTTCAGTTTACAGATCACAGTCCACCACTGAGGGAAGTCAGGGAAAGAACATAAGCAAGAACTTGAAGTTCATGGAGCAACACTGCTCGCTGGCTCACTCGAAAGCTCAGGCTTAGCTAGCTTTCTTATAGAGCCAGGGATCACCTGCATAGGGAATGGTGCCACCCACAGTGGGCTGGGCCCTCCTGAATCAGTTAACAATAAGACAATCCCTCATAGACATACCTACAAACCAACAATAAAGACAATCAATTGCTCAATTGGGATTCTCTTTTCAGGTGAGTATAGTATGAGTCAAATTGAGAGTTGATGCTAACTAGGACACAAATGCTTCATTCAAAATTAAGATCTATGGAAGAGCATCTTGTGAAACAATTTTCTTTGGGCTTTTAAGTGGCATCCAAAGTCTGATACATGTGAAACAATTTTCTTGCAGCTTTTAAGTGGTATCCAAGGTATGGTATGTCATAAGACTATACAGTGTCTACACTGTGTTGAAGCACAGTGGAAGGTTCTCTTGAGGTTGATGGGCCCTACTTTGTGTGTATATGAAGAGAGGTCGTGGCAGAACAAGCAATGGGAATAATCTTCAAGTCAAAGCTTGGGAGGCAGGGCTGAGGCTTGGCCTCAGTTATAAAAAGTTTACCTCACGTGAGTGAGTTCAATCTCAAGTAAAAGTGTTTGGAAGTCAAAGAAAATGGGTTTACTTTTACTGAAGCAAAACACAGACGACGTGCATATTCTTTTTTAAAATTTCCAAATATTTATTTTTTATTTTATCTGTATGAGTGTATTCCCTGCCTGTGTATAAGTGCACCTGTGTCATGTAATGCCCATGGAGATCAGAAGAGAGCATCAGATCCCTTGGAACTAGAGTTACACACGGTTGTTAGCTGCCATGTGGGTACTGAGAATTGAACCAGGGTCCTCTGCAAGAGTAGTCAGTGCTCTCAACAGCTGAGCCATCTCTCCATCCCTGAAGTGTCTATGATTTGTATGTGGTTCTACTACCGGAAATGACCAGATTTTCACCTGCAAATTTTAATACTACCTGATCACTTAAACAAGCATGAAGAGAAAATGAGAGATAAAGTAATTAGCATGAAATTTGAATTCTCATCACACTCCACTTCAATATCACTAATGTTGATTGCCTCTCATTATAGAAACAAAAGTGCAGGTTTCTTTCATCTGAATTTTGTTGTGTTTCTTCCATTCCAAATCAAGCAAGCTGGGGTTAATGTGGCTCTTTTGGAAATTATATGTTATACAATAGTTTTTTAAAAAATTCTAGGTCTAGGTTTAAACATTTCTATTTGAGGGTAGAATGTTTTGGATTTAAACCACAGCTGCAGAGGGATGTAGTCAGCCAAGCCTTGGCTCCAAATCCAGAGTGTTCAGAACATGTACAAGCCTCTCTTGTGGCAGTTAGGAACCAGGAATCCCAGAGAGACTTCTGCCCCATGCAAGTCAACTCATAATCCAGGTCATGCTTGCAGAAAAAGATATCTTAGAGCTCTGAAGGGATGTTAAAAAAAAGGAGAGACTTTGGAAAAAATAAAATGTGTGTCATTTCTTATTTTCTTTAATGAGGCGTGCAAGAACCATCAGTTCTAAGAACTGATTATCTTTTTCTTCAGAAACAAGCCATTTCACTGGAAGAAACATGGGGTCTTTGCCACAGTGTTAAAGAGAACTGATCATTTACATATAACCCTGGAGGGTTCAGCTACTTCTTTTCTTCAAGGTATTCTACCCCCAACTAAAACCTAGAAGGAAAACGTCCAAATGTTGTGTCTTAAGAGAGACCTAAGTTCATGTTAAGATACTGTAGGACAAATCCTTGACACACAATAGGGAGAAATAAATATGGAATTGATAACAATAAAGAAATAAAACAACCAAACATAAGCACTCTTACAGCAAGCAAGTTATACTTTCCCGAATCTCATTAAGCAGTTTCAATAACTGGGCATATTTGAGTGAGGTCATCAAGTGACCTTGCAACTTTGTAAAATGAATACTTTTCTGTGCTAAGATGCTTGGCAAAGAGGAAAGAGCATAGGCTGTAAAACCTCGTGATCTAGGTTCTCTCCATTCAAATTGTTGGAGATGTTAGGTGACACCATGTCAGTCCCCTAGAAGCACAGGGTTCAGCACCCTTTGTCCAAGGTCCACAGATTAATATTCTTCTTATCAAGTCCCTACAATTCAGTAAAGAAGGATAAAAAGAAAAGAAAGGGTCAAGAACCTGATAGTGGGCACAAAATCTCAACTGTTTGGGAGGCTAATGCTGGAAGATTGCAAGCTGAAGGCCTGCCTAGACTAAAAAGAGTGAATTCAGGATAAGACTGGGAAGTTTAACAAATCCCTGTCTCAAAAATAAAAAGGTTTTAAAATGGTGATGGGGGGTGTGGGGAGCAGGGATGGGGGAGTTTAGGGCTAGAGTTCAGTGGTAGAGGATTTACCTTATATATGCCATTACCACAACAAACAAAAAAACCACTAACAGCAGCAAAGACAAAATTTCTGCTGGAATCCTTGGAGCTCAGCTACATGAAATGCAGGGACTTCAATTTCAACAATGCAACCTGTGGAAAGCAACTGTCTCCTTAGAAATTAGAAACACAGAATCAATCCAAGAGAAATGTGGGTGCTAAAATACTAAACATT